GTCTTGTTTTACGACTTTTCATTTTACGACCCTGTTTTACTGGAACCTAACCCTGTCTTTACACGGCACCTACCTGTACAGTAACGGGCTACAGGGCAATGAGAAGCGCATCTACGAGTTCATCGTACGCCATTTCCTCGCCTGCGTATCCCAGGACGCACAGGGCCACGAGACGAAGGTCGAGATCGACATTGCGGCCGAGAGGGTGGGTCGTTACGTTAATTATCCACGAGCAATTAATTTACGCTTAACGGTCGTTTGTTATTATGCAACGGTTCCCGTATAGCGATAAGCGTACGGTCGCTGTGTGTGAGAAACTCTTCACGCTGATGTTGTGTGTTTATAAATGTGTTTGCGACGCTACTGTCACCTGTAAATGCACTTGTTCTTGTTGAGCGTGGTTCCACCAGTCTATGTGTGAGCGTATGTACATGTATGTCTACGGGATTGTGTGGTGCACTTTTGTGCCAAGATGAGCTTGCACAATATCAGTTGAGAAATTAATTCACGTGGGCAAGCATGTGTGAGTGTGCGTTAACCGAAGCAATGCTTGGTTGCGACCACCTTTTGCTCTTCTCGTAGTCTGTAGTCTTACAAATATATCGATTGTCATCGTTTCTATCGAAGGATTTCTATTCGCCACTCTGTTACAGTTTGTAGGCAGCGGTCTCATGGTGATAGCGCGGAACTACCTGGAAGTTTATCCGTACGACCGCTGGAACGCAAAGTACATGCCTGTGTTCGAAGTCGGGCAGAGGTTTCAGCCAACATCCGTTGAGGTGCGTGTAACTGTCGCTGCCACCGCTAATGTCCGCGATTCGAAGATTACTGTATCGATTTTACGGTTGAATTGCAGCCATTATAAACCGAATGGCACTACAGTATATGCTTTCCAAATGCTTCTTTCTAAGCAGTTGGTAAGTAGAACTCATAGAATTAATCTCTGCTTTAAAAACCAAGAAAGAACTAATTTTAAACATTAATTAAATTCAAAATGTAATAGAGAGCCCAACAATGATAGTTGATCAAGTAATATAGTCTAGGCTAAGGTATAATAAGCTAAATATAATAATTTAATAACATGACGTAAGTGATCCTAATTTTGTTTGTCTTGTAGACCAGCGCCCCCTAGTTGCTCACTGTGGCCCCCGCTCAATCACAACATACGCGTTCTCTTGTCTCGCAGACCAGCGCCCCCTAGTTGCTCACTGTGGCCCCCGCTCAATCACAACATACGACGTTCTCTTGTCTCGCAGACCAGCGCCCCCTAGCTGCTCACTGTGGCCCCCGCTCAATCACTACATAGGTGACATGCATAATGTGCTCTTTATAACATTATGTTACTTAAATACATTATGTGTTAACGGGTTTCTTATACATAGGAGGCACAGTGGCGCACCGCCGTTGTCAAAATGTTCCTGTATTTACTGATAAGTATATCCTGTATCCATATACCTATAAGTATACCTATATATCAATACATCCTGTATTTGAATCCATCATGCGCGTTTTTTTCCTGGCCATTACCTCCTTATGTCTAATTTTCCCTCAGAAGAAACCCTGATCGACGTTCTCTTATCTCGCAGGCCCGCTCAATCACTACATAGGTGACATGCATAATACTCTCTTTATAACAATATTACATAATGTTCTCTTGTTTCGCGCAGATGGTCGACGGCGAGACCACCGCGCCGCCGCTGCTCACCGAGGCGGACCTTATCGCGCTGATGGAGCGACACGGCATCGGCACGGACGCGACGCACGCAGATCACATCGAGACGATAAAGTCGCGCGCGTACGTCGGCGTCCGCGATGACGGCCGCTTCGTGCCGGGCGAGCTCGGCATGGGCCTTGTCGACGGCTACGATTCGATGGGCCTCGCTATGTCCAAGCCGCGCCTGCGCGCCGAGCTCGAGGCCGACCTGCGCGCGATCTGCGACGGCAGCCGGCGCGCGGACGACGTCCTCGCGACGCACGTGCGACGCTACCGCGACGTGTTCGTCGCCGCCGCGCGACAGGCCGGGAATATCGACACCGCACTGTCGGCGTACTTCGGAGCGGCGCAGCCGTATGAGGCGGCGGCGGCGGCGGAGGTGAAACCCGTGTGCGCGTGTCCGAAATGCGGGTCGTCCCTCGCCGTGCGGTCGAAGAAGGACGGAGCGGGGTTGTTCATCGGATGCATGGGGTTCCCGGAATGCCGGAACGCGACGTGGCTGCCAGCGGGCGTGCTCGCTGCGGAGGTGACGGACGCCGCGTGCGACGCGTGTGCGCCGACACCCGTCCGTCGCATCCGCTTCAAGTTCCGCGCTGGCGCCATGCCGGCGGGCGTGCCGCTCGACTACGAGGGGTGCCTCGGCGGCTGCGACCCCGCCCTCCTCGAAGCCCTCGGCGTGCAGGCGCTGACGAGACCGGGCGGGGGCGCCGCGCAGCAGCCCGCGGCGAGGCAGACGCGGCCGTCTCCGCACGGCCGCAACGACAGTGGCTACGATTCCTCCACACATGCCTCCCGAGTCGACAGCCAGGCGAGCGGCGGAGCGACAGCCCGGGCGAGGGCAGGTCCGACGCCGCAGCCTCACAGAGAAGGGAATCCCCGAGGAAGCGGCGTGGGGGGAGGTGGCGACCGGCTCGGGGCGGCGACGTCGCGCGGCGCAGTTGGGAAGTGGGGCGCGCCCGCGGGGAGCCCCGGCGCGCGGTCGCCGCTAGCGCCGATCGCCGTCGGCAACAACAACGCGGTCGTGTGCGGCTGCGGCAACGACGCCGCGCTGCGCACGGTCGTCAAGGAGGGGCCGAACCGCGGCCGCGCGTTCTACGTGTGCTCGCGCGCCGGCCCCCAGCCCTGCGACTTCTTCATGTGGGGCGACGACGGCCCGCCGGCACCCCGCAGCGGCGATTTCGGCGGTGCGGACAATGCGACGGCAAACTGCCGCTGCGGAGTCGCCGCAAGCAAGCGCACCGTGCAGAAAGACGGGCCGAATAGAGGGCGCCAGTTCTACGTCTGCTCGAAGCCGCAGGAGGCGCAGTGCGGGTTCTTCGAGTGGGCGGATGCCGCCGGCGCCGGCCAGTCTCAGCCGCCAGGGGGTGCAGGACAGAGCTCGAAGACGTCCTCTGGGTACAACAGCGGCAGCATGAGCATGAACACTGACCCTGGCGACAGCGAGGTCAAGTGCAACTGTGGCGCCCCTGCACCCGTGCGAACAGTACAAAAGGAGGGGCCCAACAGGGGGCGCCAGTTCTACTGCTGTAGCAAGCCGCGGGAGTCGCAGTGTGGATTCTTCCAGTGGGCGGACGACGGTAGAGGGCCGGGCATTACACCTGGTCCGAGTCCGAGCAGCAACTATAATGCTCCACCAGGTGGGGCTGGTGCTGCTGGCGGCAGAGTCAAGGCGGTGAGAAAATGTGGTATTTGCGGAGTGCCAGGACATAATAGGACTAAGTGTCCGCAGAGGTGAGAAGCGTCATGTAATCAATCGCTGTACGGGATTTTAATGATCATTTTTAGATTTTAGAATTGAATATATTGAATTGAATACAATTATATATTGAATTTAGCTTCATAAAATGTAATTTTAATTACGCTAAACATTCCATGTTTTGTTGTGTATTGAAAAGCTACGTACATTGGTAGTTTCAGTTCAAATCATTTTATGTAATATGCCTATTATTTACATGTAACAAGTATTAACCACATGTCGAATAAGCCATATCAAAATGTATCCCGTGACAGAACTACACGATGCAAGTTGCGACAACAATCTCCAACATGATTCCGGTCTCGACGGGACCTCGCACATCAATGTACAAGCACGCACGCCACCTAGTGACACATCTTACCTCGCATTTCAAACGCAATTACGATACGTATCTACGACGCTTTTCAAACTAATTTGAACTGAGGTTTCATTTGGTTCGTACTAGGTCTCTATAGTTTCTTGCGTGGTTTGCTTGCTATCTAGGTCGCTCATGGATCTTTAGCGTTCATCATTTGGCGTAGTGTGCGTTGATCGCACGACCAATCACGAGGCGACGCACCTCGCTCGTTCCTGCGCCAATCTCATACAGTTTCGCATCTCTCACGAGCCGGCCAGCCGAGTAGTCGTTGATGTAGCCGTTACCACCTACAAACAAACAATAACAACCATGTTGATGTAGCCGTTACCACCTACAAACAAACAATAATAACCACGTTGATGTAACCGTTACCACCTACAAACAAACAATAACAACCATGTTGATGTAGCCGTTACCACCTACAAGCAAACAATAACAACCATGTTGATGTAGCCATTACCACCTACAAACAAACAATAATAACCATGTTGGTGTAGCCATTACCACCTACAAACAAACAATAACAACCATGTTGATGTAGCCGTTACCACCTACAAACAAACAATAACAACCATGTTGATGTAGCCGTTACCACCTACAAACAAACAATAATAACCATGTTGATGTAGCCGTTACCACCTACAAACAATAACAACCATGTTGATGTAGCCGTTACCACCTACAAACAAACAATAACAACCATGTTGATGTAGCCGTTACCACCTATAGTATAAACAATAACAACCACCTTGAGGTATAAGTTGCCTCCCCTATCTACCCTAAAGCCTAGCGCAGACTTGGGACTTTTTCATGCAACTCGGCTGCTAGAATCGCAGCCGAGTTGCATGAAAAAGTCGCAAGTCTGCGGGAACGTGCAACTGCAACTCGTAGCGATTCTGGTAGCTTGCAACAGGTTTGATTTTCAGCAACTCGTCGCTCGCAATCGCTCTTTCCAAGTCATGGAAAGAAGCGACTGCTGTTAACAGCACTCGTTTGCATGCGCACACACGGTGAAGCGTGCGACCGATCGCATGCGGTTGCAGGTTGCAGCGACGAGCAACGAAAAGTGGCAAGTCTAGATCTGCGCTATAGGCTTAATAAACAGACAAATATATATTTGTTTTGCAGAAGCTCCGAGGAGCCAATATTCTGATTTGCATTGACGACACTGCAGTCGTTTTATTGCGAGCTGCTTTCCCTTGCGTGTACGTACCCATTGCTTGCAGTGCCTGCAGCGCCACCTGGGTGGCTGCTTCAGCAGCGTAGAGTATCACAGCAGCACAATCCTGGCGGACAAGCAGAAACGAGATATCAGTACTGTACTAGCGACAGACGACAGCGACCCCACTCGAAACAAACCGCCCGAGAATTAACAAATGCTTGCGTAAACATAACATACTATAACAGATGCTCAAATATGTGGGGGAGATAATCGGATCACGTACACCCTCAGTTGTCAGAGTTTGCCCTCGTACATTAGCTCATCCGAACAGACACCAAGTCAAACTGACAACTCGGTACCGATAACATTCTTTCGCGAATTTGGGGACGAAAATAAAAATTCTCCGCGCATCAATCAAACGTGAGAATCGCTGATCACGAAGCGAGCCGTACCTTGCGGTTTGCGTGCCCGGCCCCCAGTGCCTTTGCTATGCTGTAAACGTAGCAGCGAGACACCTGCAGCGTCGTGTACATGTCCGCCATCTTACCCTGCATGAGCTGTGCGAGAGAACCTCCATATCAGTAACACGCACGCACGCACGCACGCACGCACGCACGCACAGGTAGTTATCGACGACGAAAGGCGCCACGAATCATGATCACTTGTCAGTCTGGTAAATAATTGCTAACGAAGCCGTCACTGATCGTGAATCGATCGCAAACAAAGCCAGCACTTCGATCAAGGTTGACACACACGAATACGACATTTCTGTAGAATATTTGTTTACCACAGATCAACAGGGTGTGTATGGAGTGATTTGCCTGTCGTTGGGTAATCGATAGGGGTGTAACGATTAACCGCGATTCAACTGTATCGCGCGGTACATCCCGTTCGGTTCGGTTTTCGTTTTTTTTTCCGTTTCGATTCTCGGTTCGGTTCCGGGAAATACATTCAACCCTCTCTCAGTTAGGGGGGGCGCATGTGTTTTGGCCAATGAATAACACAATAAATGTATAATATTATGATACGTATTATTATTATTATTCAAAATGGAGGGCAAATTTCCCCATCTTCTCAGCATTTTTACTACTGAAAATAACCAAACCGAATGAACCAACCGAACCAAAACAAAATGTATCATTACACTCCTAGTAATCGATGGTGGTTGCGGTTCGTTACCGCGGGCGAGGGAGAACACCTTACCTGGAACGTGCCGATCTGTTCTCCGAATGCCTCCCTATGGTGGCAGTAATCGAACGCAAGGTCGCAAGCCGCCTGCATGATCCTGAAACACACAGCGCACCAGGGTAAAAAATACACGGGAGCGATGAGCGATTTGCTCTTCAAACCTCCGAAATCGCTCCCGTGAGGCTCAAAATAGCTCTTGTAACATTTTTGACGAGAGCTATTTTTTCCACAGACTTGAAAAAGAGCTCCCGTGAAAAAAACCTTTTTTTTCCCCTGCAGCGCACCCTGAAGCGCCTACCTTTCCCCCCGCTGTGCTCTACGTCTCCTTGTTAACTAAACACAAAGGAAAGCCCGCGGGGAAGGGGGCGCAATACTGTGATCGTACAACGTGCAACGTAGAAACTGCCAACAAAACGTTAAAAATACTACCGCACGAGATTTCGTTTGCAACGACCGCACGCCGGAATTCTGACCCATGGTACGTCGGTGCATAGATGTATACGAGTTTATATCTTTTGAGCAACAAGAATCGTTAATTTAGTGAGGGTTTGTTTACACGCGACATATAGCCACACGCATATAACAACAATGTAGTTTCTGACTATGCTAACACACAGTTTATACATTCCCCCATCGAAGCTACGCCAGCCACCTAGCTGTCGTAGAGTTAAGACAGAGTGGACGTCAGCGTAGCAGCTTCGTGAATCGCACCAATATTCGCACCGTATTCGGCTCGATGAACCGTGCAAGAACACCGCATCACCTAGGCCCGGTTTATGCCAGCCATCCGTGCTGAGCTGTGCTAATTATAATATTACGGCCTTATGTCCCATCGGGGGACCAAGAGGATAAGTAAGTAAGTATCCATGCTGAGCACCTTTGATGAATCTAGCCCCCACCCAGGGTGAGAGCACGCAGCATGCAGCTTACCCCACAGGGCCACCGGAGAGCACCAATCGTTCGACGTCCAGTCCCGTCATCAACACGTAAACTCCCTTATCGAGGGACCCAAGCAACTGCTTCTCTACAACACGGATAAACAACACAGAGTCAACAACGGACCACCAGAGGGCGCCGCTACACCTACCCCACGCAGCCGGAGCCGCCGAGGGCGCGCTCGATGTCCAGACCAGACATTAGGATTTTGATGCCGGCGTTTTCCCGACCGAGCAGGTTGTGTGCTAGACGAGAGAACAAAAGCAAAAGCAACGCTCGCTATTTCCACGCACGCAGAAATGTGTGCGACGGGGTTGGTCAGCCGTAAGTGCGCGAGTTCATGTGTACGTGCGCTAGTCCATGTGTGCGTGCGTAAGTTCATGTGTGCGTGCGTAAGTTCATGTGTGCGTGCGTAAGTTCATGTGTGCGTGCGTGCGTAAGTTCGTGTGTGCGTGTGTAAGTTCGTGTGTGCATGTAAGAGTGTGTGTGTGCACGCAGGAGAAATTCCTCCAGGAGGATGAGTCAACTCTGTATCTCGGCATAACTCTCTCTAACACCCTGAAGTGGGACAAATATATCAATAGTTTATGTGCGAAAGCCAACAGGAATCTTCAAAAGGAATCTGAAATACGCGCCCAAAACGCTGAAAAGCCACAACATACAAATCTCTTATTCGGTCTAAGCTAGAGTATGGCTGTACAGTATGGGACCTACATTTAAAAAGAGACATAGAAAAAATTGAAATGATCCAACGCCGCGCAGCTAGATTCGTCTGCAACGATTATGGCAGAACCAACAGTGTAACTGCAATGTTACAATCACTTAATTGGCCGAATCTTTAACGCGTATACGCGGTCGACGCAGTACACAATCAAGATCAAGATCAAGGAAGAAAACGTGCAAGGAGTGTAGGATGAGTCAGCAGCTCTACTTGGCATAGATCAATTTTGACAGAATCAGCTTGACTTCAGACAACAAATGTTTCTTGTGACCTCATCGTTGTTACCACAGTGAAATCTCATAATAACGAAATAACCTGTCTCAAGGCACAACACTGTCGACATGCGACTCTGCCGTGCTGAACGCGCTAAATTATCCAAGCAGAAATAAAAACAATAAAACGATAACCCTTTACATAATCGTGAACCACTAGAAGATGCTAGAACTGGCATCCCACGCGTCACCTGGTACTTTGCAATCTTCGAATATGAGTTCGCCGGTTGGTGAGCCGCGCATGCCAAACTTGTCAAGCTTTGTTCCAACACTGAAGCCTTCCATGCCCTGCAACAAAGGGTTTAACGACAAACATTACCGTACGTTTAAATCAATACCTTCAGGTTACATACCTTGTGGTTTAACATACACTAAAGATTTTTTTTAATGCTTTAAAACTGCTAATATCCATTTGCTTACAATTGATGGTGCTGCCACAATTTTTGTTAAATCTTTGATGTCTAATAATATAAGTGAATGCCTGATAACAGACATGTGTATGCATATACTAATAGCGACTACATCTACACCATGATAAGTTGATAACCACACCCACCTAAGCAAGGCTTAATCACCTTCGTACCTTTTCTATGATGAAGGTGCTGATTCCATGCTGTGGTTTATCGGCGCTTGGGTTCGTGCGTGCATATACGATCAGAGTGTCAGCAATGGGACCGTTAGTGATCCAGAACTTACTCCCATTCAGAATGTAATAATCGCCTGTAGACAGACACAAGATAACTTGTGTTTACCCCGAGTTAGGAAAAGTAATGACACTAATCACTGAACCAGATTCAAGTACGTGCTGCCCTCGAGTCTTTGTTTCAAATCAACTTGTAAATTATGTACAGTACACAATCTATTATCTGAAACCCTTGGGACCAGACAGTGTCACACGTTTCGGAATTCACAATTTTTCGGATTTCGGAATGGTAGTACAGTACAGCTATATATATACCGTATATCCTGCAACTAGCCAGTACTAAAACCCAAGTTTTCAAAAAAGGCCAAGTGTTGTAGCGGTACAGTGTAATGACGCGACGCCACGCGCATCTTGCGTCCGTGATTAGTACGTGTGTTTTACTCCATTTTCATGTTTAGTCTGTGGCCGTGGTTATACAGCTGACACCTCGATTTCATCTCGCGTCCAAAACATACGGGCCGCACAAATGTTTACGTCATCGGCGACTTATCGTTTGACTCCTGGATGACATTTACGGCACGCAAATCAACAACCGAAACAACCGACCGAACAACAACCGAACACCAACCGGACCGAATATCAACAACCGATTTAAAGTCTTGCTTGTAATGTAACCAGCAGTGATATTAGACAAACTAATA